AGAGCTGGGAGAGAGAGAGAGAGAGAGAGAGAGAGAGAGAGACAGAGGGGAGGCAAGAGGGACGAGCTCAGCAACTTAGCAAAATTAAATGTATTATATACTTTATAAATGCATTTGTTACTTATTCAGTTCTCTTCTATCTATCTATCTATCTATCTATCTATCTATCTATAATATATATATATAATATATCGTCACAGACAGATATATATATATATATATATAGGCTACCACCCGGGTCACCCTATCTTCCCGGACGGCCCGGCCGTGCAAGGCCCAGGGAAGGTCCAAGCAAAAAACAAAAAACAAAAAAAAACAAATCCGGAAAAAAACTATGTTACGCAGAAAAATAAACTCAACAACTTTTGCCTCAGCGTCACATCGAAATTCTTTACCAAATTTAAAATAAAAAAATAAAAGTTAAAAAATATTTTTTATTTTCCTTTTTTTTTATTTCTTTAGTTTTTAAACTTTTTATTTACTTATTTATTTCTTTATTTCTTTATTTCTTTATTTCTTTATTTCTTTATTTCTTTCTTTCTTTATTTATTTATTTATTTTTATTTTTATTTACAAGAAAAGCTCAGCTCATTTGATTACGCACTCAAAAGGAGAGGCTGGGAATCCTCAACAAACAACCCGGAAAGGAGCAGAAGATATAACTGTAGGTGTCGGGGTGAGATCCAGCGACAGTAATGGCCAACACCAGACCGCTCTCCTGATACCCGCAGACCCTGGAAACAAGAAAGTACGCCTCAGGCCTGAGAAGCCTCACAAACCAAAAAACTAAGAAAAACCTCAAAACCCAACAAGTGCCTCACGGCCTCGAACCAAACATTGTCAAACCGAAAAAAAGAAAGACAACCTCATTGCTCAGCTATTCTGAGATCTCAGTACTGAACAAAGTTCCCTTTCCCCTCTGGGCAAGTGGCCAGAGGGGAAAAAGATTTCCCTTTCCCCTCATTGCTCAGCTATTCTGAGATCTCAGTACTGAACAAAGTTCCCTTTCCCCATTGCTTGGGCATAAAAGCCTTACAAACCAGAAAGTGCGGCCGGGCCTTGAGGATTTCCCTTTCCCCTCCGGGCAAGTGGCCCCGGAGGGGAAAGGGAAATCCTCAAGGCACCCACGGCAAAAGGAACACCACCAGCAAAAAACCTATGCAGGACACAAAAAGGCACCAAATGCAAAAGTAGAAGGCACTCAGTTGTCCTTTTTTTTTTGGGGGGGGGGGGCAGGAAAAAGAGAAGAATTTGCTTTTTGTCGTGTTGTTCTGGGTGACAGCTGGCATCTTGACAGTCCAGAAGCAGCCCGTTCACTGGGCCTTTTTTTTTTCTTTTTTTTTTTAAGCTATGTTCTTCTCTCAATTTCACCTCCACACTACCTACCTACCACTACTCCTAATTGTAGGCTTTGGGCCTCGCTCCACTACTCAGGACAGCCACAATAGACCAAAAAAACAAAAAAAAATTATGGGTGTATCTTCCAGTGTACCAGAGGAAGATTCGTTCTCGTTTTGCATATTTGGTGAGAAGTGGAGCGAGACCCTTTCTTTGCTAACCGTTACTTTCTTTTTTCTCTTTTTTTTTTTTTGATAATTCGTTATAGAGCTGACGGAGCCACGGAGCTGCCGTCTTCCCCCGAACACAACGCACCCTAAACATGAATGTATACAAGCTATATTTTCGGCCAGATAGAGCCAAGATAAGGGTGCGTTGTGTTCGGGGGAAGACCGCAGCTCCGTGGCTCTCCACATGCACGAAAGACAAAAAAAAATATTGGGGTGTATCTGGTCACATATCCTGAGGGAGGATTCACTCTCAGGGCCTCGCTGCACTACTCTGCAAATGTGCAAAATGATTCAACTAGAACATACACACATACACCACTTAAAAAAAAAAAAAAAAAAAAARCMARAWAMACCGCCATTTTTTTTTGTCAGCAAGGATTTCTTTTTTTTTTTTTTTTTTGGGGGGGGAATCAGCAAGGGTACAGCTCGTAGTTCTTTGCCAGTAGTGTTTCGATCCTAGAAACACGCCGGCGTTTTCCTGTGCAGCAAGGATAGTATTTGCTGCCATATAGATTTGCTTCGGAATTTTTAATTTTTGGAGATAATTCCTTCAAGGGACACTGGACCCGGTTTCCAGGAGCCTAAAGCTGAGTATTGGCCTCAGCAGGTTTGTACCGGGTTGATAAGTAGGGGTGTGTTCCCGGGCCCCGGTGGTCTCATTGGAATGAAAATGTTACGTTTCTCCAAAAAAAAAAAAAAAAAAAAGAAAGCCTGCTACAGTGGGCAGGTAGCCCAGAGGTGCAGTAAATCCTCTGGCCCTAAACCGCAAACCAGACACAAAGGATTGGTGTGCTGGCTTTTCGGTGATACCCATTCAGCTGTTGGGATAGCTAAATGAAACATGAGCCACAAAAGGCCAGCCTTTTTGGAGTCCCGTAGGCGACTGATGATATTATTTCAACAATTCAGGGGTGTATCAACTGAGCTAGGCCTATTTATATTACTATTAGGAGGCAAGATCGGCCAGGATAATGGAGATGTGTGGGATTCCCCCCGCGCGGGGAGGGGAAGGGAAGGACAGCGCGAGGGAGGGAGGGAGGGAGGGAGGGAGGGAGGGAGGGAGGAGATCGAGGGGAGATGCATCCAATCTCCAGAGGGGAGAAGAGGGCAGGAAACATTCCTATGATTCATGGCGTAAAGTAATCAAGTTAAATCAACACATGACCTTCCTATGATTATATACATGGAATAAAGTAATCAGCACATGGATTCCGAGTGAAGTACTCACGGGCAACTTTTTTTTTTTATTTCGGTTAAACAGTCGCCTCCCCCCTATAATTACATACTTGTTATTAAAAAAATAATAAAAAATAATTATAAAAAAATTTGCATACCTCCAGTGACTTGACAATGTCATCAACCGGCTCGTTCGGATTATTGACTGTGACATATTTATAACCATTCACCCAAATCTCGAATTTTATCTTCGGCGGCTGTTGCTGCTGCTGTTGAGCCTTTGGACCCTTCCCAGCATTTGGGTTCTGGTCCCCCATCCCGATCCCGATCCCGATAGCGTCTCCCTCTGCAGCATGCACTTCACGAAGCTCACGTCACTCCACAGTTGAGGCCAAGCTCTTTCCTCGCAGAATGGAAGGACGGAAATTTTGAGATTTACCCCTCGGCAACGCGAGAATCTGCGAGGAAGCCACCGGACCACAGTGAATTTTTGATTTGCAAAACCCTTCCAGGTGGTGTAGGGACAACTTGGACTGAGCCAAATCTTGGATCAAGATTCCTGATAACTGCAGGCAGAACGAATACCAAAATACCAACCGTTCGAAACAAACAAACAAAAAAAAAAAGAAGAAGAAGAAGAAGAAGAAGAAGGAATGGAAAACCAACCATTCGGAACAAAAAAAAAAAGAGAAGAAGAAGAAGAAGAAGAAGAAGAAGAAGATTTCTTTTGAATCTTACGCTTCACGTGCCGATCCCAAGCATCGAACACACGACCTCCCGGTCAGGAGGCAAACACTCGACCAAAAGAAGAAGAAGAAGAAGAAGAAGAAGAAGAAGAAGGAAAGGAAGAAGGAAAGGAAAACCAATCGTTCAGGACACAAAAGATGACAGCAGCAAAATTTGCTCTTCACAGGGAAAGTACTAATTCCGCCCTGTCCCTCACTTTTGCATTCAGGATTTCTTGCATATAAAAGCGATTATCAACTTGAAGATGATCCTTTTCTTTTTCCCACACGCTCCCAGAGAGATTTTCTTAGCTAACTGAAGAAGAGTATGGCGTAGGGGAGAGGAGGGAAGAAAGGAAGGATCTCAAATACGACAGAGAAACACTCGAATATCCCCAGGGTTATCACATAGAATCAAATTCACACACACACACACACACACACACACACACACACACACACACACACACACACACACACACATACACACAGGTGTTCGATCGGTGCTGAGAGTTAACATTACAGAATGGAGATACGTTCAGGGAAAACCCCGCTCTTGGCACCCTCTCTTTTGATCCATGCGTAGGCGACAAGTTTTGCGAACCAGGGAGTGAGCATCTTACCATGGCCACAAAACCCACGACGGAAAAAAACACCCTTTCAAATCCGAAAAGGACAGATTATCCTACCGTACCCCCAGAAACAAAGGCGCACCCTATCATCATGATAGCAATACTGCATTAAAAATAAATAAAAATAAAAAGCAAAACTGCATCGCGCCTAGTATTTTATTACCCAGAAAGAAAAGCAAGAGTAGTTTACCATAAATACCAGAAAGAAAAAAAAAAAAACAGCAAACCAACACACACACACACACACACACACACACACACCCCTGCAGACTCCTAGGAAGAATGACAACAAAATAACATAATAATACATACAAAGGACGAGAAAGAATATAACACCCATATTCTGACGGAAGAGGAGAAACCAAAAAACAAACAAACAAAAAAAGACACGTTCTTCGGGACATCCGTAAAATTGGAACGATACAGATAAATAAAATAAAAAAAAAACGGAGGATGGCCCTTGCACAAAGATGACACAGATCAATCGCGAAATGATCCAAAGAGGAACAGCTCATGATAGAACTAGGATTTCTGGCCAACCTTAAAAAAAAAAAAAAAAAAAAAAAAAAAAAAAAAAAAAAAAAAAAGCGGTTACCGAGTGCCGGTCACGAATCCCAAAGCTACAGTCTTCACGCGAATGAAACGCCCGGTCATTGTCGCTGCATCTGGACCGAAAGGTGTGCCAAATACAGCTGTAATGACCGGGCGTTGTTCTATTCGGTTGAAGACGGTAGTTGTAGGCTCTTGGAACATAGGTGGTCCATGCATCTGGACCGAAAGTTGTGCCAAATACAGCTGTAATGACCGGGCGTTCTATTCGGATGAAGACGGTAGTTGTAGGCTCTTGGAACATAGGTGGTCCATGCATCTGGAACGAAAGTTGTGCCAAATACAGCTGTAATGACCCGGGCGTTCTATTCGGATGAAGACGGTAGTTGTAGGCGCTTGGAACATAGGTGGTCCATGCATCTGGACCGAAGTTGGCCCAAATTAAATATTAAAGATGGTGATCCTAACACGAAGTTCAACTTCGAGTCTCCTCCAAACGCCTTGTGAACCAACTAACTCGGGGCTTGACTATGGTAGCTCTGGAAATTCTCTCACAAGAGTTTAAAAAAAAAGAAAGGAGAATGTATTCATGGAATCACGAGACCTCGTTCAAGCACTGCATATAAATTCGCCCTCCGTGCCACCAGGAGTAAACCTTTGTACAAATAATCTCAAAAAAAAAAAAGAAAAAAAAAAAAGAAAAGGTCACTAATCTTCCCTTACAAGAGTAGCCAGATAAAGTATCCTCTTATCACCAGCACCCAGCAATTCACCCTTACCCCGGCAGCAAACACATCTCTCTCTCTCTCTCTCTCCGTGTGTGTGTGTGTGTGTGTGTGTGTGTGTGTGTGTGTGTGTGCCACTGTAGACATCACAGTTCGAATCCTGATGAGTCGGTGAAAGACTGACGGAAGTCTGTCACAGCCACCCGTTTTCTGTCCTTCTTCTACCTTTCTGGTTTCGACTTACCGGGCTGCTCTCTGTGGCATCTATGATCTATCTTCACGCGCCCTCTCTCTCTCTCTCTCTCTCTCTCTCTCTCTCTCTCTCTCTCTCTCTCTCTCTCTCTCCCGCGAATGACGAACAAAAGGTGCCGCCGATTTTGAGGAAGGGACAGATAGGGAGGAAGAGAGGGATGGCAGATCTTTCTGTCGGACGATTACGAGAGCATCTATTATCCTGCAGCAAATCTTCTCTCTCTCTCTCTCTCTCTCTCTCTCTCTCTCTCTCTCTCTCTCTCTCTCTCTCTGTGTGGCCTTACACGTGCACTGGATCAGTCGCAGGAGGAAGAGAGGAGGGAGGAGAGGGAGAAAGGGAGGAAAAGCAGGAAGAGAGGGAGAACGAGGAGGAGGAAGAGAGGACGGAAGAGAGGGAGGAAGAGAGGGAGGAAGAGAGGGTGTGCGAACACAAATTTCAAAATGGTGAAGAAGAGGCGCATCAAAACCGAAAAAGCACCACGACGAGGACAAGGAGCCATTCCAAAACAAAGAAAAAAGTCCGAGAACCCATTTGCAGGGAAGGAATTCGGCATCCACGAGAGTGAGGGGGGGATGAGAAAGGACCACATCAAGAGGAGGAGGAGGAGGAGGACGAAGAGGAGGAAGAGGAGGAGGAAGAGTAGACCAAGTATAACACGAGGAATACGATGCAGCGGCAGCAACGGTGGCGGCGGAAGGAGGTTTCCTGAGGGGTGAGAAAATTTAAAGTTCAACTTTAAGTTAGCGCTCAAGTCCTGTTTCGCAGCGAAAGAAAGACCGGCCGAAGGAATCCGAAAAAAAAAAAAAAGCAAACAAAAAAAGGTCATGTTTCACAACGAATCCCGCATCGAAGAAGGTAAGAGGAGG